TCAACAAATTGGTTATTAATTCTTAGTCTGATTTTATCTTGATTGAAGAACATTCTGGTGTCAAAAGTTTTGAACCAATTAATTCCTAATAATAAAGTATCTTGAGTTGATTCAATAAGTTGAAGATCGACTGTAAATTGAGTGCCTTGAATAATTAATGAGGTGTTGGTAATTATTCCTAAAGATCTTTTTCTTTGGTCATCTGCAGTAATAACCATAATATCAGAAGCTTTGTGAGGTTTCAACTTTAATTTATTCGCAAGGGAGGTAGAAATAATACAAGCAGCGGCTCCTGAATCTAAGATTGCTTCAAATGGATTCATTTTGTATCTAATTATACAACTTGCTGCGGTATATTTATTATTATCATTGACATGAGTTTGGGTTAAATTGACGTTGACATCCTTTTCAATTCGTTCAATCTTTGCTTTTAATTATTTACGATATTGAGGATTTTTAAGAAGTTGTCCAAATGATATATGAGCGTCATATCTTTTTAAATCTTGAACTATATTATATTCTTGTTTCCAATGTGATTGTAGAAAAACTTTCTGTAAGTAAGGTAGGAGATTTGATGTTGATTGAGACATTTGTTTTCTATTTTCAGCTTGAGATTCTGAGTGAGCTACAAAAATTTCTTCTTCTTCTTCAGTTTCCATCATATTTACATTTCTTGAGCGAGGCTTAGTTAAGATTCGAGGTTAAGCTTTAGCGGTTGTTTCAGTTTGACAGTCATATGCGAAATGTTCTTCTTCTTTACAGTTAAAGCAAATTAAAGATCGTTGAGTATATCTATTATTATTTGTATTGCCATCATTATATAATCTTTGTTCAGGTTTATGTTGACAGTTTTGAGTTTAGCTAAATTTACTGAGAGTTGAGCTACTTGTTGTTGAAGAAGTTCAACTTGACTAGCCATTATTTGTTGTTGTTGAATAGGTTGGGCCATAGAAAATCCAGTTTCTATTTTCTTAGCTTTTTGAATAGCAACGTTCAAATTATTAGAGCTATGTCCTACAACCATAGTCATAAGTTGTGATTATAATCCTTATATAAATTTTCTAACTCGATAGTCTTGTCCGAAATTTTCCATAGGATCAACTTTACTTATTAAAGTTTTAAATTTTAAAGCGTATTCACTAACTGTTTGACTAGGTAATTGTTGCAGCATTTCTAATTCTAATATCCACTTATTTTTCATTATAACATTGGCAAATTGTCAAGTGAATCAAGATACAAAGCTGGTTGCACTTCCCAGATTATTCCAGTTATTAATATTTGTATAATCTTCCTTATACCATTTGGCTGCGACATCTTTTAAATAACCTGCGACTATTTGATATTTACGATTATCTTGCCATTGATTTGCAGTAGCAGCTCGTTCAAAAGCTGTAATCCATTCAAATGGGTCTTCATCATCACGACCATGAAAGTTACTGGGTTTGATGATATTTAATTCTCTATTTACTGCTGCGGCATTGACAGGGTTTGCTAAAGTTAATCCTTGAAGGGTAGTTATCATTTGTTGTAATAGAGCGGCCAATTGATTTGATAAAATATTTACTGTGTTATTGCTGAATTATTATTTGAATTAAAAGTAGATTATTGTTACTGCTGTTGTTATTGATGTCCACTAGTATATCCAAATCCAGAATAATGACTATAATTCAGAGGTTATAATGTATTAAAAACAGAAGAGGTAGTGGAAGTAGCAGTAAAGTTTGAAGGGTTAATAGGTTTTGAGAAACTTGAACTTGCAACATTTTGATTTGACTTCATGTTGTTTTGTAAATAGGCTGGTTGTTTCCCTTTATTAATAGCAGTTACAGCAATAGGGATGCTTGATAGTAGAGGGTTTGTAAAAATATTACCAACTGTACCAATAGGAGTTGAATTGAATGCTTGACTACTTGGAGGTGGTAATTTATATCTGCCTTGACCAATATCTGAAGGGATAGATTGAAAACTTTGGTAAGAATCTTCTTCACTTTGAAGGCTACGAACTTGAGTTACGTTAGACGATTCTGAGTCAGCAAAGGCAGAGTATTGATAAAAAGCTTCAGGCTCAAATTGATCTTCTAGAGGTGCAATATTTCTAAGATTTGAAATATCGATAAGATCAGTTACTTCTTGTAGTTCTGGTGTAGTTGTGTTACTTCTAAACTGTGAATTGCTTGTAGTTCTGTTAGAGGATTGTGAGATTACTTCGTCTGTTTCACTTTCTGATTCTTGAATAGATTCACTAGTATTTGAAGATACTATTTCTTGGGTAATAGTTCTGTCTGCAGAAGAAGAGTTATTAGACAAAGATGATCGAGATCTAGGTGGAATTTCTTCTGAATCTCCTTCTAAACTTCTTAATCTAAGGGTATTACCAATAGCACAGGCAGCTCTGGTTAAAGTACTAGTAGTATCAGTGGATCAAGATCTAGAGGTTCTTCTTTGAAGTTGATATTAGGTAGTTGGGTTGTATATTCTTTCTGAACGAAGGATGCGACTAGGTTGATTTTCAGAAGTATTAGACTCTACATTGATTGATTGAAGATGGTCTTCTATAAGGATGTCTTGTTGATCGATAAAGCTCTTTGTCCACTCTAAGAATGGTAAACTTCCAGTTTCAATGTGATTTGTTCAAGCTAATACAAGAATTAAATCAAGGACAATTTGGTAGATATTATCTTTTAAGAGATTAGCAGACAGTCGATATTAACAAGATTCTACTAAAGCAGAGGATTGAGTAATAACTGTTATAGAGATTTTCCAATTATCAGGTTGTTCAACAAATTTAAGAATAGAGGTTCTAAGTTCAGTAAATAAATCAGTCGTTTGCTTAGAATATTGGGTTGCCTTAAATTGTAGATGATACCAAGACCAAAAATTGTCAAAGTTTTCTAGATGTTCAAATTCTTCTTCAATAGGATAACAAATTAAACAAGATATATCAGGTACAAGTGCTAAGTTTAAAGGTTCTCCAATAGCAATCAAATGATGTAAACTATTGTGTGCTCGATTTCTATCTGCAAAACTCATATACTTTCTTATGTTTGAATCCTGGCAGGAATCATCACTTTTGTTACTGTAGAATTCTTCAACTCAGGATGGTCATATTATTAAGTCTCTACTCGAAATTTTTAACTGCAGTTTACTGCAGTTAAGATATTAGGATCCGCCTAACTCTTAACTTTATTAAATTTATGTGTTAAACTTAAACAAATCTATCAAGTATGAAGACTTGAAAGACGAGATTATGAATAATTTAATCAAAGAATTCAGATGACAAACTCAATTACAAATAATGTGTAGGGATCACGTTAGACTATATGAAAACACGAAGAGGCAGAAAGATATAAGTTTTGAATGATTCCTTTATTAATATTAAAACTCAATTGGTAATCCATAAAAGAGTTAATTTACAACATAAGCAAAAAGTCTATCTATTTATACAAAATTTCTTTTAGTACGGCTAACTAATTACTATGCTATAAACTAACTAATTTAACAAAATAAAATATAAGTAAAATAAAAATACATAAAATAATAAAAATATAAAATATAATTAAATAACAATAAAATTTAGAATATTAAAAATACGTATAACACTAAATATTCTTAGATTTCATTTAATTCGCAAAATTAGAATTATTATCAGTATTTGGAAGATCTTTAGAATTACGTAGATCCTCCGTATTTTCAGAATTCGCAGAATTCTCAGTATTTTCAGAATTCTGGATTAAGAGATCGTCATACTGTGTCATCTACGTGACTTTATTATGACTGGTCAATTGCTCCGTTGACAACACATAAATTTAGCATTAAGGTTCCTCTGAAAGCAAAATAGCTTACCAAATTCAGAAGCAGAAAAACATCCCTAAACATGAATTTTTGGTAGATGCTTAACAGAATGAAATACTTTTCTTCTACCAGAAAACTGCCAAACCTTTTTTTTTGATGTATATAATTGAAATATACTCTCATCTGTAAAAACAACTCGATTCTAATCAAAATTCTTATGTTTTTTTGACTATTACAACCTTTTCTTTCAATGGTCTTTTTTAAACAAAGGTTTAGAAATTTCATTACTAAACTTTTCTCTAGACTTACGAAGACGTCACCTTACTGTTTTTACACTAAGCCCAATACCTCTTTCTTCCATTTTTTCTTGTATTTGAATAGCTGTTATATTATGTTTTTTCTTTGCCATCTTTACAATCTTGTTATCTTGTTTTGCAGATATTACACAAGGTTACTCTGGTCTTTCTGAAGTACTTAGATCATAATTTTCATGATATCTTTTAACCTAATAAATAGCTGTAGACTTACAATAACATACCTGTTTAGCAATAAATCTAAAACTAAACTTTGAACCAGCTAAGTGCTCACGTAAAAAGATAATTTCATATCGTTTCTCTAAAGAAAGTTCTATTTTTCAAGCGAAAGTTTGATAATAATCTAAATTTTTTTTTTGTATCATTGACACTTATAAATTTACAGGTGATCATGTATTGTGTTACATTATATTTTTAGAAAATTTAAGGGGTAGTTATATAATAATTTTGGATGATCTTAAACGGTCAAATACTTATAACCGCTACTGTAAAAAAAGAAAAAAATAAATTAAAGTTATTTATAAATAAAATTACTTAAATTTTACAATATCAATAAAAGAAATACCTACTGTTAGTTCCAATAGCTATTAGAATAGTTGCAAGTCTTTTACGTCCTTCTCAACATTCTTTTTGTTGATTTTTACAATTTTCTTAAATATTTAAATCATTTGTCAATTCAGTAATTAATTAATTAGCATTATTAAGATTAAATAAATCAGGTTTTTTAATTGTTTCAGATGTTTTAGATTGTGCTTGTTTATTAAAAATACTTTTTAAATGTCATGTAAAGGCATTATGATTTTTTTGAATATCAATTATAGCTTTAAAATATAAAAATCCTTCAGGTATAAATAGCAGATCAAACCTTTCAAATTGCTTTTGAGAAACTGGTTTCTAATTAAAAATGTAATATAAATCAGAAAAAGTTATTAATAAAATATTTATTGCTTTATTTTTATTTCTCATATTTGATTCATTATCTGATTCATCCAATAAGAGCTGAGATACTTCAAATGCAGCAGTTCTAATATTTTCAATTTCTATCTGTAATTTAATAGATTCTAAAATAAAAGTTTAAATTAAAAAAAATGAAAATAATTAATAAATGTTAAAATAATTTTTATACTGGTTAAATTTTGATATTGATCATCATCATTATCAGACATTTCTAAATTATTCTGATTATTTGATAAATGTTTATCATAATAAATAAAATGTTACATTGAAGATGCAATCTGATTATTAATTTAAAGATATTCTACAAATGATATTGCTTCACTATATTCAATACGAATTACTTCTCTAAAGTTATCTTCAGATGGCCAAGTACATAAATATTAATAGTACTTCTCTTTAAAGAGAAGTACTATTAATATCAAATACATAACCTAGATATACAAATTATATTAATTTTTTATAAATACATTTTAATTAATATAATAAAATTCCTACCTTCAGCTGATGTTCAATCTCTTGATGTATTAATTAATCTAGCATATGAAATTTTATTTCAATATATTATGCATTTTTGAATTTTATAAAATTCATAAAAGTTAAAATCAGCTATTACTTGTCATGATATACCAAATATATATTTAAGAACCTCAATTCCATGTTTCCATAAAAATAAAGGATAGTTAGAATAATATTTTTAATGAATTATAATAAGCATTACTAAAGATTCTGTTATACTAATAAAAATTTCAAAACTTTGTATAGATATAATACTATATTGCATATTATACCATTTTGATGAATGAATTATACTATAATGTTGAATGTAATCTTTCCATACTTTAAGAAAAAAAATGCATACATAATTATTTTAATTTTTGCTTTATGATTAATTTTTCGATTAAGATATGCATCACATAATTCTCCTAATAATCAAATAAATTAATTATTATAATAAATAATTTTATTATTTAAATATAAAACAACTTACCAAGAATAAATAACTAAATAAAAAATCTAATCATATCAGAAGAATCATTTTCTGTTTGAATAATTTGTATTAGATTATTTGAATAAAACATCTGATATGCAGTACCATCATCCTATTTATCAACATTAAAAATATCTTATTTTAATAAAATATGTTTATCTTGATGTGCTAGTTGATACAGCTGATTATATTGTGCAGTATCTGTTCTTAATGAAAGAAGTCTTGCTCCAGTAAATAATTGATTCTGTGCTATTTTTTTAGTATGTTTTAGATCTTGAATATGAACTAATAGTCTTTTATGTATAATTGACACTTTAAAATATACATTATAAAATGGATCATCAAATGTAAAATATGTTGATGATGAATTCATAATTTGTGGTTGAGTATTAAATTTTGATCTTGTACCATCAGCACCTATATTAAGAATATTTAAGTTATTTTGGTATGCAAAATCTAATACAATACAAAGGATATTAAAAATTTTTTCCACAGATTCATCACCTTTTATAAGCAAAATAGCAATTACCATTGGAGGTATTTTTTCAATCAGAATCTAAGTATAATAAATATTAATATAATGTAAATATTGAAAACTTTATTAATGAAAAAAATTTAAAGAATACCTTAAAAACAATAATCTGAATTTGTGTTGCAAGTGCATTATTTTTATAAATGTAACAAATTTTTTCATAGATATCATTAATATCAGAAACTAATACTTCATTTGAATGTAAAGTAAATCCTATAATATAACTAAGTTCTTAAGAATAAACTAATTTAGAACAGAATTTATACAATCAGTTATTAATAAAATTAGTCTTTTCTATTTTAATTCTTTTACTATATAAGTAAATTTTTTAAAACTAAATTAGGATTTATAATTAACTATATATTTGAAGTATGTATTTAACTAAACAAATTTTTATAAATTAAATATATAAATAATTGTAATAATAATATAAATAATTAAGAGATAATAAATATATACATAAATATCGAATTCTTTGAATAGAAATTTCACCTAATACTTTACAAAAAACTTTATATTCACGATTACTTTCAGATAATAAACTAAAATATGTAAGATATTCAGAATATCGCAAGCCTTTCATACTAATACAGACTCTGCCAAAAGTCTTTAGATACTATCTTTTGGGCTTTTTCGTACTAATTACATTATGTGACTGTAGAAAATTGCGGCTATATAATGTTCTAGCCATTGTTTACTTAAATTAAACCAAATAAATACGTGTTTAGTTTGTTTATTTTGATTTTAGATCAAAATAAAATTTTATCTTTTTAAAATGTCCAAAGAATTAATAATAGAATAACGCGGTAGTATAATTTTTTGCTATCAACATAGCGATCGTTATCAAACTATTGCCGTAACTATTTATTGAAAATCTATGAGCCAAAATCAAGAAAAGCATCTGTGAAAGTAAAAAATTGCCTTCTAACCTTGCTCAACTCGATCAACATGTTATAAAGACATGAAAACAAATTCTAATAAAAAATATTGAAAATTTAGTTGATAGTATGCCGCAGTGAATTTGGGCTATGATTGAAGTAAATTGAGGTCTAAACAAGTACTAATTATTTATTACTAAATGTGTAGCATATTGTACTTTAATAAATATATTAATAAATATTTTTTAATAAAATTTAAAATTTCAAGTTTTATATTAAGCCAAAAAATGTTCGAAGACTTTTAGCAGGATCTGTATTTGCTTTCTTTTTTATCTTAATTTGTAACATTAAAAAAGCCAATTCTGTAAATGTTTTTTTATCACTAAAAGCACTATTCATTTCTATTTGAACTAAAGATACTCACATTACAGTATCATTGTTATTGATAATCACACAGGTCTAAAGATTTCTAAGATTTTAATTTTTTATAAGATCTATCAAATGGGTATTAAAATAAAATTTTAGTATAAATTTGGCTGTTAATGGTATTGCCCATCTTTTTATAAAAAAAAAAATAAGTTTCAATTATTAACTAACAAATAAATGAGAACTAAACTTGTTAAACTTACAGATTTTAATGCATTTTTTAATCTATAATTCTTTTTCAAATTAGTATATTTATCACATAAACCTGACAAATTTGTTGTTATAATTATACATTTTGTACTTTATATTACTTTTTCAAATTGATCTATTCTTTAAAGAGATATTGCTTGTAATGTAGTATTAAATTCTTGAAGTTGATCTTTATTAAATTTCTTATAGGAAAAAGAAATATCTTGAAGAAACTTTTTAGGAAAAAGTCTCTTTTCAACTACTTCAGCCCTTTCTTCACCACCATAACCAGATGGAGTACTAGTAGCATAATTTGTATACAAATCATCAAATAAACCAATACAAGGTAAATATTCATATAATTTAGTTTCTTCTTCTATATCTTGATTTTGATCAAAAAAAAGATATAAATTTTGTTATTTATCAGTACTAAGAATACAGTTTTTACTTTTAATATGTTGTTTAAAATTTGTTGTTTTAAATGAATGGTCTAACCAAACTGTAACTTCACATTTACAATGAACAGTTTTTTTTTTTAAAATTCAAAAGTGAGCAATGTGAGGATCATTTAGTTTCTGATGACATTGAAAAAAGAATAAAAAAAAGAAGCAATAGTAAATTATTCAAGGTAACTCTTTCTACCTCTCCATTACTAAGTCTAAACGTGACAGACAAATTTTGTTCTCTAGCATCTGGTAAAGTAACTTTAGTAGTTGAAGTTTTTCTTTAAAAGTTTTCATCTTTTAAAGATAACATAAAGTTTGTAACAAAATCTGACCAATAAAATTTGTTAATCAGGAGGATAAAATAACTACCCTAGCGTTTCCCAAAA